GAGGGAACGGTCTAAGTTACATATTTCAGAAATGTACGAAAATTGTATTAATTTAAACAATGTAATAATTGAATGCAGAAACAATGAGGTCGTTGAAGCCGTGAACACTTGTTTGTTAAAGGACAACTCCGGCGCAAAATGAACCTTTGGTCTAATTACACATTGTTACCTAGTCAACCGTTATCTGAGATTTGTTTTGATGATTGCCGAATGTAAATAGTTCGGCGTTCGTAGATCGACTGGTAGAGACTATTTTTCCAAGATGGCTTCTTCCTGTATTCGCGAAGTTGACTGGGTGTATAAAATATCTTCTTATTAAACTGTATGGACACTGATGCTTCGGTTTGAATGTAGGGACCCTTATTATGCTGTCGTGTTAGTGTGGGGCTATTTTGAGCCTTTTTAGTGATAATAACAAGCGATTTTTATTTGTCATTACTCTATGCCCTATATACTAGCGTTATAGGCTAAACTGTTTTTAGAGATAAAACTATTTACATTCGGCAATCATGAAAACAAATCTCAGATAACGGTTGACTAGGTAGCAATGTGTAATTAGACCAAAGGTTCATTTTGCGCCGGAGTTGACATTTAAAGAGATGTAGCATTGATCAGGCGCATGATCCTTCACAAATCTGCAGCAGAAACCTTATCTCCTTATCAGTGCTGAAATTTTTTATATTTGACATACATTTTTTTTTGGATCCTTATAGATAGTTGAAAGGAACCGCATTAGATAAAAAAACCATTGAGATATCATCACTGTCTGGTTCTTAGAAAATACAGTATGTTCAACTTTGATAATATACTGTAATTGTGTATGCCAATGTGCGATTAGTTTTAAAATTTTGAATAATATTGCGCCTCCTCCCCTAAAAACATTTGTACAGTTTTGCTCTGAAAAGATGACTAGGAGTACCAGGTTCACAAGTTGCAATGATTGCAGGCTGCCTAAATGTAGCTCGGCCTTTGCACAGACAGCCTTCTCATTCAAGGGCATTAAAGAATGGAACAAACTCCCAAAGGCTCAAAAACTCACTTTTGACCTGAAGGATTTTTCTAGTAATATAAGGAAAGTGCTATTGAACAACCCGTTGTGCCAGCATAGATGATTATGTATGTAAATATGACTTTTAGTGAGGTTTTATTGATGGTTGAATGGATGAATGAATTAATTGATAGTTGTATTTGAGTGACTAATTATAACATTTTATATTGTATATTTTGTATTGTAATTCACCTGCTCGGGGACTGCAGATGGAAACTAGCTTAAGCTAAATCTGGTGCAAAGCATCTTTAATGAATGTTTTTTGCACATTGTCCCTGTTGAAATAAATGGAAATGAAATGAAATTATTTCAAATATAATTATTTGTAACATTATAAATGTCTTTACTGTCACTTTTTATTAATTGAATGCATCTTTGCTGATTAGAAGTATTAATTTCTTACTGACCAGTCTACATATTTCGTTATCTTAAGCACATGAGCTTTTGGATCAAGAAAGCTTAATTTACACACAATTTTACATGTTTAATATTGATTTTCAAACATTTTGTCAGTACTCTGACAAAGTTTGTCAAAACAAAATTAAAAAAAGTATCAAACATCCCTTGCTCAAAACAATTATATATATGTGTTTATCCATCATGAATTTTTACACTGACTTTAATTGATGTTACTTTACATGAAAATACTACATTACAGTAATTACATAAATAAATATGGGTAAGAATTTATTTTAGTGTCCTTGTTAAACATGTTACATGTACTTACCATAGTATTAACAGCAAATTATGCATAATTACATGCAACTAACCCTCAACCAAACCCTAACATAGAGTAAGTATAGTCACTCAGTACTCAAATATATAATGACACTGTAACAATAAAATAAAGTGTAAGCAAAATATCTCTAATAAGGGAGACAAAAAACAAACGTATAATTGCCTAGAAATGTTTTGAACTGTGAATGAAACTGACCTTCTCCGTTTGCTCTCTCTCCCCGACACTCAGGAGGAACGAGAGACTCGCACCTGCGATGACAATTAAACTTACAGTCTGGAGAGAAACGAACAAACATGTTATTGCTCAGAAGACGTAATGAAGTTCTCTGTATATAAAGGTTGACTTGACTTTAAGGAAACGCTTCTTTAAAATCTCGAAAAATCAAAGCTCAGTTTGAGACTCAAACCCACTAGATTTAAACAGTCAGCTATTATATGTTCGCACAGTTTTTGCTTGAAAAAATAAACTTTAAAAAAGAAATAACTGATTTGTGGTCAGTACAAAACTGCAGTGTGCCGGATCCTACCATGCAGTGGACAAGCTAAGTATGTGAACTGGGACACAGCAAAAAACATTTGATCTGAATCTGTGCCCTTTGACCCCTCTCACCGGTGCACTGCATGCCCTGCCTGAAGAGGCCCTTGAGCAGCCGGAAGCAGTGCTGGCACACGGTGGGTTTGGTGTAGGTGTGTATGTGGAAGGTGTGAGGAACACGCGGTCGGCCCTCTTTCCCCTCGGAAACCCCCACACACACCGGCACGTCGACCCAGGACGGCGGCCGAGAGCGCGACGGCTTCCTTACGCTGATCTGTTGGAGAAGACAAACATCGTCAGGGAGAAGATCTGCACGAGTTGGGCAAAGACCGCGATTGATTTAAGAGCAGATTGATCGGTATTATATGTAAATGCTCCTCATGTTTGGAAAGATGTTTGACACGTGTAATGTTGTTATGCACGTTATAAGTGACTCAAACGAGCAGCGTTTACTAGAGCCAGACCGATATTATCGGCCGATATTAGGCATTTTCCAAAATATCGGTATCGGCAGTTATAATGGCCGATAAATTAATATTTCAAAAATAAAATAAAAACGGACAAAACACGCTTGAACCATGTCATGAGTGTTGGAGATGTATAGTTTGTCCACCAGAGGGCACTCTACACTCGTTGAGTTGGTCACGAGACGTACATTGCTTGAATAACAATTAAAAGATCATCCGCATCAGTTCTCTGAACTCAAATAAGCAGGATAAAATTTGTGACTATCATGTCCAGTTTTGCTGCTGTTAAATAAGCCGAGAGTGAAGCGGAATTAGCTAGTAATAGTTACGTTACGTTGTTACAGTGTAGTTGACTGACTGTCTTTTTAACTTTTGACAATGTGACTGAAGTATTTCTTTAACAGCGCGTGACAGTTTTAGCAATGAGACGCATCATCTCTCCTTGGCCTGTTATATTGAAAATGTATGTTTTACAATTTGCAGTATGACGTTATCCATTGCTAAATCATAGACTAGCTAACCACAAAGCTAGCTAATGTAACTCTCATCAGTCTGTTCTGTTGTGACTAAAAGAAACAAGTTTCTTTTTAAAATGCATTTTCATATTATTTTAGTTAAAACTCATAAATAACTACAAATAACTAACGTTAGGGAAATCTGTTAATGTTTTGTTGCGCGTTTCTGAAATAAAAAAAAATATCGGCCGATATATCGGAATATCGGATTTTAAAACCAAAAAATATTTGTATCGGTATCAGCCTTCAAAATCCTTTATCGGTCGGATCTAGCGTTTACAGAGCCGTGCGTCAATAACGAGCTGCGTCTACTGAATAATCGCGATGAGGCAACTCGATTTAAGTGCGATTACATGTAAAATTGCAGGTAATCGTGCAGCCATAGCATTTCAAAGCGCAGACAGAAACATCAGCGCTGGGTTGTCTCGGGTCTGACCATAGACTGTAAAAAAAGATGGACGACGCCCCTTCGCTCTTTTCCATCAGAGTGAACCGAAGCCGCCAGTGTCTCGATATGGCGCTGACATCTTGGGACCTGAGTCTGCACTCTTGCGTATTTCGGGACCAGTCATGCGCAGTCGTGAGCAGGAAGTAAAGCCGCGAAATCAAGGCCGCGCCCTCATTCTCGCTGAATCAAACGCAAGCACACGCCCCGCACTTTCATTAAGTGTCCTCTGTCTGCTTCGTTCTCCTCCAATGATGTCTGCTGATCGCAGAACCTCGTTAAAATAAGGTAAATACAACTACTAACCACATAATCAACATGCGTGACTACCTCGCACAGAGAACCTGTCATTCACAGCTGTCAATCATGATGTCAGAGCACCGTTATTTTATCATCACATAACAAACTAAAAACAAACTTATTTTAAAAACGAACACTTGAAATTACATCAACGTGATAGAAACTACAGTAAATGACAGAAACTATCTTCGGAAAAAGGATATGTGAAGTGTAATTTAATTGTTTAGTTGGTCTCGCGTCCCGTTGAATAACATGGGGAGGCGGGGGTTATGAGCTATACTAGGACCGGCCACAGGGGGGCGATCGAGGCGTTTTGGCTTCACTTTTGAGGGCACGCTTGGTTCTGACCTCCTCCAGGCTTCCTCCCGTGTGGCTGGAGAGCGACGGCGGGCGTCCCGGGGGAAACAGCGACAGACTCGGCCCGCACCGGCGAAACACGCGAGAGCAGTCGTTGGGCAGCTTGAACGCACAGCGCTTGTGGAAGTCCAGACCGCAGCCTAAACACAGTCACAGCGAAACATCAGCATTAAAGCGTTAGTTCACCCAAAACATCCAAATCATGTCATTAATGACTCCCGTAATCTCCGTTCATCTTCAGAACACAGTTTAAGATATTATATCTATAAATAAATCAATATAATTAATGTTATAAGTATTAAATAAAAAATAAAATACATAAATAAACAAACAAATAAGCAATTAAGCAACGAAGTATGTAAATATTCTGTACAAGACTTTATTGTGCTGCGTTTTATACAGTGTGTGTGTGTGTGTATCGCGCAGTCATACCTTCACACTTCAGGCCCTGTCGGACGAGGCCCCACAGCATCTCTCCACAGTAGTGACAGAACGTAGGTGTGCGATATGATTGGACGACTAAGGAATGTGGGCGGTACTTTGCTTCGGTCACCAAAGCTGTGCCTATAGAGGGATTGACAGCTGTCAACATCATCTGTATGGAGTGTGTGTGAGTGTGTGTGTGTGTGTGTGTGTTGACTGACCAGCAAGCACCACCTCCACGAGATCTCCGTCCCGTAATTCATGTTTTTCGGTGAGTCTGTGTAAGATCTGCTCAGTGTTCGGCTCGTGTCTGAATAACAGCAGCTTCTCCTCCAGACCATTGACACTGCACTCCGGAGCCTTGGAGAACACACACACACACACACACACACACACACTACTCATTATGGTTACTTAGTTTGTACATTAAAAAAATCACCACAACACAAAAAACAGTTAAACAATAGCAACTAAGGAACTAATTAAATAAAATAGCATATAAATAAATACGTTTTTTTTATAAATTTCATAATTTATAATATAAATATTTTATAAATTATAAATAACTATAAATAAACAAACACAAACATATCACAGTGCAACAAGAGTGTTGGATGGATTAGAATGATTAGATCGACAGACAGACACAGAGATAGACGGACACTCTCACACACAACAGTACATGAACTGCAGAGTAGTCATACTGATCCTCATGAGGGGTAAAGTGGGTCAGATCTCGACGACTGCATCATCACTCATGTCTTTTAAATGTCAATCATTTTTTAAATCAAACGGATGCAAGTCAAACTGAGACTCGACCCGAAAACATTTAGGAAACATGAATTGAATTAAACAAATTGTACTACAAACAGTAACTGACCAGATTTTTTAGTTAATGATACTGAGACTTGAGTGATTTTACGGAGCTAAAAATAAAACAATTGTTGGGATTTGTTACCCTGCTGAAAAAAACAATAGAAACCATTACAGATCCTAATGGTTTTAATGGTTATAAAGGGAAATGTATTGGTTTTAATGGAAACTGTAATGGTTATAGAAAGTATAATCTGTTAAACTAAGTTTACATTTTCCCATGTGGGCTTTTTTTGCTTCTTAGTTTTTCAAAATCAGTATATACCCGTTCACACATCAGGCTAAAGGAAGTACAGGCCAATCACCGCAGAGAGAGCAGGTCACATGACCAAGGTGCGTGATTTAAGACAGCACTAAAAACTGTGAAATTACAGTGTTTTCGGGGGGATTTGACAATAATTATTTTTATTTCATCGTTAAGTAATACTAAAAAAATACCATATGATATAGTTCACAAGCACAGCATTATTTCATTAGTTCATTACAACAGTAATTCGCTTCATGGTGCCGCCATTAGACCTTCCACATCAGCTTCAAACACACAATCAACTTCCAACTGACACTCTCACTCACAATCAACTGAACACTCAGAGGAACCTCAACACATCACACGAAGTTCTAAAAGCACGAACACACACGTTTCCGTCGCGCTCAGTGTGTCGTTCTGGCTGGCCAGAGTGTCGCTTTGTTGTGGTGTGTATGTTGTGGTGTGTGAGGCGTTAACCTCCGTGTCAGATCTCTCTGGAAGCACGATCAGGATGACGGATCCGAAGGGAAAGCGCGGGACACACACACCTATTTCAGACCCCTTTATGGATATTTAAAGAGGAACTATTTTTCACAAAAAATAATTGGAGACCGCGTGCACAAGAACGAGAACCCTAAACGTCAATTTGCCGAAGTGTGCTTATAACCAGAGCCATTCATGGTTTCAGTCACGTTAGCACTGTAAAAATTATATGATCAATAAATTATGGCAACATGTTTTTATTATAAGTTATACATGATTGGGACAATGTGTACTTTTTTATGTAACTTGTTATCTTAAAATCAATTTTTTTTTCATAAATATGACCTCAAAGGTGTACAAATACCTCAGCCAATTAGCTGACTTATCCTCGTAAACGAAGAATTTATTATCTTTATATACATGGTCCACAGAGGCTTCCATGTAGTTCCGCCATCTTGGAAAACTATTGCTGCGTCCCAATTCGCTTACTTATACTACGCCCTAAAAGTATGTACTCTTTTTGTGAGGAAAAAGTACATACTTTCGAGTGTGTAGCAAAAGAGTAGGCAAGCTTTGGGACATACTATCACGTCATCTTTAACGGACAGCTCTGTCGCGTGCTCCGCGCATCCTGTCACCGTAAACTGCCCTGTCAATCATCTTGTCACAGTTAAAATCCTCCATTCTATCTAATTTTATTTCCTACCGTTTCGGAGCGCACGTTCATCTGCCAGTTGTTGGTCTTTCATGCTCTCCTCGTGTTTGCAATTTGAATATAATGATGCTTTTAAAACGTAATGTCTAAACGTGTCTTTACAAAAGTTCATAATGCTGCTGCAAATGCAATAATGTGGACAACATTGAATAAATTCATTTTCTTCGCGTTAGATACTGATAATTAATCACTCAAAGCTCTTTATCTAAACTTCCCTACACAACCGCGGGTACTCCGTATCGACTACGTGTCTGTAGTTTTTTAACACTTTTTACTCGTGTTTGTAGTTCTAACTGAATCCTCGTCCAACGGGCAATGGTTTGTGGGCAATATCAGCCGTTAGAAGGTGCGTTCCATTCGACAGTGTTCACTGCTCCCTACTCCCTGAACACGGTATATCAGTTGAAGTGGACTTCACTGACTTCCTGTGAAGTGATGTATCGATGTTCCCTTATTCCCTATGCCGTTTGCAGTGCCCTTCGAACTGAACATCTTCGTTCCCTTCGAATTGGAATCTCACTTAAGATGGCGAAATACCCTTTTTAAGTCCACTTCGCAGTCTACTTACGGTCCAATGGAACGCACCTAGAGCGTGCATCGTTCTGCACTTCGGATTCTGACCGGAAAAAGTAGACCATCCGAGTATCTTTGAAACACTCATTTCAACATACTACGATTTGGGACGTACTAATTCTATTTTCGAATACTATTTAGGACGGATAGTATGCGAATTGGGACGCAGCATTTAATAGCAGAGAGGGACAAAAAGGACTAGGCTATTAGAAGACATCCTGTCATAGCTTTTTGGTACATAACAACACAATGCAACGATGCAACGCGCGTTTGATAAAGTGAGGCGCTGGAGAGCACAATTCGTTGAATGCAAAATACTATTTCACCGCTAGATGGGAGAAATTCCTACACATTGTCCCTTTAAGTCAGTTTGATGTGATATACGTTGAAATGACTTAAATATCCAAGGTGATTGTACTTAAAGGCACCAACTTTTTTTTATTTGTAACAGTGTGATGCGGAGACCTGAAGGGGAAAACAGCCATATCTGAAGCCACAGGCCTGTCAATCTTCCATCGGTTATATGATATGTGAACAAATTGCAAGTTCACTTGTGATTCATGTATACAGCACCTGCTGCAGTATTTCAAAAACACGATCCAAATGGATTATTTTAGTTTATTGTAATGGAATATTGCAGTATTTGCATTATAATTTCTATAAAATTCATGTGCTCTAGTAATCTTTAAGTTTTTCCATGCCAGAGTTAAAAAAAAAATAAAATAAAATATATATTTATATGAAGAGTTCAGATGCAAAAGCCTCTAAGTGCCATTTGAAATTTTCTTCTAGAATGAATTTTTTTTATCAAGCTTGTATATTTAAGTTCAGTGATTTCACTTAATTGTTATTTAAGTGAAATTACTGAACTTAAATATACAAGTTTGATAAAAATCATCATTAAAGAAGAAAATTTCAAATGGCACTTAGATGCTTTTGCATCTGAACTCTTCATATATATATACACACACACATTACATACAGAATATTTTTTTTTTAAATAAAATTACAAAATTATATAATATATAGATAAATCTATGCATTTTTTTCAACACTTTTTTATCAATCAATTAAAAAAGCAACTTTTTGAACAAAAGCTCCGGAAGTAGTTGCGTTTTTTATATAGACTATGTCTGGGATTCAGATCGTGTCCATCAACTCAAGAGCAACCTGTCACTCTCGTGAGATCCACCAATAGCAAACCACAACCATCCAATCAAGTCCCCATCAACAAATTCAAGCCCCGCCCACATTTGTTCATAGTCAAGAAGCAGTTTCACTTGGATATACGTCATAATAGAGAAGAAAAGACCACTGACACTTTCATTTCATGCCGAATTTAAAATGAAAAATGCTTAACGTGGCTTTATGAACTATGTTGATCAACTTCAATACACTCCTTATTGACGATGAGCCCAGAAAATGAACCCAACAGGCTAAATTGCACATTCAGTGTATTCATTATTACAGATTTCCCTGAGGAAAACATGACACGTTGCATTCATATTCTGGATTCATGTGCTTGCTTGTATAGCTTTTATTTATAAGGTGTAAACTGAATTTGGTCCTCCAGTATCACACTGCCTTAATGCATTGACGCATTAAGCGTTTTCATAAAGGTTTTCTATTAGAGAATGCTTAAAGGCGTCCCCTTTTCACAGGATGTGTTAAGTTTTAGCTCAAAATAGCTCACAGATATTTTTTATAGCATGTTAACAATTTTTTTTCATTTTTATTTCAGCAACATAACACACTAAGTTAAGTTTAAGTTAAAAAAAGGAAAATTATAATCAACCACCCATTTAACGCAATTTTGCAAAATAATATGCAATTTCAAATGAACCTCTAGCGATTTATAAACCTAGTTTTATTTATTTCCCCTAGATTATGTGATTGAACTTAAGTTTAGACACTTTTATTAAAAAAAAAAAACGGCAAAATATAATAAGAAATTTGAAATAAGAATATAACCATGTTTCTGCGATGACTGAAATTAAACTCGCAATGTAATGAGATCATGTAGAGATCAAGTGTGCTACTAACATTTATCACTGCATATGATTTCACACAGTTATATATAACATTAAGTACTGTGATAAGTATGCAGTGAGCAATCCACTCCAAACATACAGCATGTATTATATGAGCAAGCATCTAATGTGTGTGAATGATGTTATATGAGAGCGGTGTTCATGTGTGTGTGTGTATGGGAGGTCATTCCATAAAAAAGGTCAGTGTGTGTGATGATCCTGTACCACTGCAGTGGAAACTGCACCATAAGAAGGTCAAGCAGAGAAACAGGTGTGTGTGTGTGTGTGTGCATGTTTTGTGTGTGAGAGAGCATGTGTGTGTGTTAGGGGAAGAGTCTGTGGTTGGAAAGTTACAGGCAGATACTGTGAACCGCAGCGGACAAACAGAGAGGCGGTCGAAGGGGGAGAGATGCTGAATGAGGGCTGAGAAGTGTGTTTGTGCGAATGTTTGAGTAGCACCTAATTCTGAAGTGTCTTCACACACACACTCTTTGACTTCCCCTTCTTTCATGAATCTTCCTCTGACTAGGTGAGGATTTTTCAAATTCTTTTTATAACCAAAAACAATGACCACGCATACCAACAGCATAGACATATTAGATTATTAAAAACAAAATATAGACAGATAACATCTGCAGATTACTGAATTATGATAGTGCATTCACTTCACAACCTGTCGAAACCAAGACTTCATGAACCAATCATTGTTGAAACACTATTACTAAGCAATGGAAATGCTTTGGAGGTACTAAAGGCCAGTCAAGTCGTGCTATCGTTCCTCTTTAAAGTTGAAAAGGCACTTTTGTTGTTGGAGAAACTGAGCGTCACAATGGTGTGTAGCGATGGAGTGCATGCATGCGCTTGACCTTTTTACTGGGGGATGCAGCCCTTCACTGAAGTCATTGTCAGTAATGTGTGTTTATTAGTGTGGGTGTTTGCCTGGCATGAACGCATGACGATGTACAGGAATAGTTCCAATAAAACTGAAAATGAAAATGATGTCGTTATTCATGACGTCACCTTGGCATAACGGTCGTGTCTGCGGCGTCAGTGTCACTTGATTGGACGAACACCGCACGCGATTTGTTTAAAGGCTGTAGCTATCATTGCGCATCTCATATCGGATCAACTTTATCCTGACTTTTCACACTGTAAAGGTAAGAATGAAACGGTCTAATCTTTGATTCAACTGTCGCGTTCACTCACCATTCGTAATTTTTCCCTTCAAACGCCAAAACTGCTGTTTACAACGCGCCGTGTGGGAAGTCGTGTTTACGTCGTCAGGTGCGTTCAGTCACTTTCGTCGGAGTAAAGGCCAATTTATACTTCTGCGTCGAGGGCACGCCGTAGTGTACGGCGTTGGCTACGCACGTAGGCGACGCCGTTGTGAGCATTTATACTTCTGCGTTCAGGTCTTGGTTGCTCTGCAGTACTGCTCCGAAACGCTAGTTGGCGGCGGAGAGTTTTAATGTTCCACTGTGTTTAGATTCCTCGCGGCTAGGTTACTACGAGTGAAAGAGAGCTGATCATGTTGGAATTGGAGCTTATTAAGGTGGAAAAACAGTTCACTTTAGTGAAATTACTAAAACTGAAAGGCAGAAATGAGAGAAGACTTCGGAGGAGATGAAACTTGTGGAAATCATAGACAGTGGTGGAAATGCGTGAGAAGGTACGTGCGGAAATGCGTAGGAGGAAATACGATGCTACCAAGCCAACCAATCACCGATCTTGCGGTCCGCGTCGTCGCGACGTGTAGTTACATTTTTGAGGAGGTGCGCGTCAGGCGACGGCGAAGGGTACGCGGTATGGGACGCGTCTGTGCGTATGCTACGCCGTACCTACTGCGCGCACCCTACGCAGAAGTATAAATTGGCCTTTACGTAAGATAGTAATGTAGGCTACTTCTCTTGATTACACTAAATAAAGCCATGTTTTTAATGCGACTTCTTAAAAATTAGTTCAAAAAATGTGGATAAAGAATGTTTTACTTTTTTGTTTTTAATTAATAGCCTAAGCCACTTTAAACTTTATCATATGTTATACTTGCTATATTATAATGCTATTATATTTTGTGCAGGCAATTGCCTTTGTTGTACAGCCTGGCACTGCTAAACACAGGTATTGCTGTATTCAGATATGTTTCTCACTGACATGCCAACAACTTGTATAGAACAGGGCTTAAAGTCCCCCGCTAGTCCCTTAAAACTCACCAAAATGACATATTAAATGTTTTTTCCTTGAAAAAATTCCTTCATGCCTTAAAACAGCATAATGTAACTCGATACCCTTGCGTCATTTAGTATATGCGGTTCTATGAATATGCAAATGAGCCCCGCCTCCACTCACTCAGGTCAGAGATCCACTGGATAACGATGACACGTTGACATGATAGGCCTATGTCACACTTCCTGCTTCCGGAACGCGGAATAGGGATACAGAACTTATGCTCAACAGTATTTTGGGACAAAAGGAGAACTAAAACAAGGATCAATATCAGCGACAGCGTGGCAATTTCGAGATGCAGAGAGCACCACGTCTGACAGTGACGCCACTCTTGCATGTGCTTTATTAGACAGGTGAGCAAATGTACATAAAACTAATGAATGTTATATAGCTCAACATGATGAAATGTTAGAATATGATCTGTATGTTATTCTAATGTTGATTTAGCATACTGCTAGTCTCATATAGGCAAACTAACACACAGAATAACATTATAACTTTCTACACACTCAAATGCAGTTTAGTGTGATAGTGCAGACCAAGTGAAGCAGCGCTGCGTTACCTCACAAGTTTAATTCGTCTAATAAACTGTCCTGTCTGAGTAATACAGCACTTGAGGGTTGTTCGGTAGAATATATCCGTGGGACTTGCGTTGCGTGTGACGCTGATATCTGTCTCTCATTAACAATCGCGCCAATCAGTCATGTTAAAAACATCAATGTTTTCACTCATCCATAAACATTATTATATCCATCAGCTTGACGACAAGTTCCATAATTCCACTGGAATTTTGCGTCATCAACCTACGCCTTTGTTACTGTAAGAGTTTAGCGACCCCTAGCGGTGGAAAAAACGTACATATTCGTATTTGCAACATGACTATAACAGACCATAAGGTGCCGTTCACACAAAACATCCAAAATCGAATACTTCCCTACTATATAGTATGCAAAACACAGTTCGCCAAAAGAGTAGTATGTCCGAATACACAGCAGGCGAAAAGAACCCGGATGACCTACTAATTCCAGCGAGATGCTGAAAAGTGCATACGATGGACATTTTGCTCTCCTATGAGGCCACAGGATAGGACGTGAATAGCAGTGAAGCGACACAACCGACGCTAGAAGGTCACGTGACGGTAACAACATGGCGGATGTAGTACGTGTACATCCGAATTTCATTCATGCTACCCATATTCATACCCCAGATAACACAAGGCTGTTTGATCTCCTATTTACATCTGAAAGACGTATTTTAAAGAGTGTTTGCTCATCTGCAAGACGTCTATAGGACGTTTCCTGTCAGATGTCAAATAGACGTTTAGAAGATGTCTCTAAGATGTAATGATTTAGAATGCAGGTCTTATAAACGTCTATTTGACATCTGACAGGAAACGTCCTATAGACGTCTTGCAGATGAGCAAACACTCTTAAAAATACGTCTTCCAGATGTAAATAGGACATCAAATACCCTTGTGCTATCTATACAGAGCATTCTTCTTTTAACGGTCGTGAAGTAAATGAAAATTCAAATGTAGTACAGAGAGAGTATACGTTTTCGCACGCAGCGAGATCTGACATCAAGCTGAATGGAACGCCTACTTTTCTAGATCCAATCAATTCCCTGAGGGAAAGAACAAGCCACACCCTCTATTGTTCTCATTCAATATTCGTATCACTCAAAAAATGCATCACAACACTGAAGTAAAGTCGGTCGCAAGTTCCGGTTTAATAAAGACGTCCGTCTGGTTTAAAAAAAAAAAAAAGGAAAAGTAGAGCAGTGGAATTATAAAACGAGTTCGGGTTTCTAGCCTGGAAAGCCCTAAAGCTTATTATAAGTCCTTTTTTGTGCTTGGCTGCCCCATTCACTCATTTGTTGTATGGAAGTCATACCGGTTTGGAGGTTTTAAGTTTTAATGTCACATGCTCGATAAAAACATCAAACGTTGAGGTTGCACAGTACCTTTCTCTCGATGATTTCTGCTGCGAGATGCTTCGCCTGCTGGAAGCCGAGGCGTCGCTCAGGGATCTGTACCTCCTCTTTGAGGAGCCCGATCTGAAAGAGGACACGCATGGGTCCCATCACTTTGTATTCGGGCCCCATGGACAGCTGAGAGAAAGATCCTGAGAGGAAAGAGAAGAGGTCATCTCAGACCTTTTAGACGTTCACAGGTTCAGATTTACCTGCACCAGTATTGTTGTTTTGTCTTTTTTACTATCTTGTAATTGCAAAACTGTTTTATAGTGTATAACTAATAGTAATGTAGCATCATCAGAAAGTCCTTGAGATCTCAGGAAGAAAAAAGGCTTCAAAGAAGAGGCTCCTTCAAGCTTAAGGCAGCAACTGAAACTAGCCTTCGTTAACATTAAGATTAAACCTTAAGATAGTTGTGCTCCAAAAGTGGAACTTACCAGAGACATAACTGCTGATGTCAACGCTTTTTGGGCGGAGGTTTGTGTTGGCAGCCATTTTCTTTACGTTGGTGAATTCGAACTAGCACATTTCACAGACCTTTTTGAGACGCTTCTGTCGCTGCTCTGGTTTCCTCATGCTTTAGCAGTCGAATGACAGGCAGCGGAGACAGGAAGTTGACACACAAACTTCAGTGTTTCTGCGTGTGACGAGTGGGTCTGCAGAGCTGCCCACCAAACACAGCGCATCAAACCTTATCTGATGAACTTTAAAACAGCTGGGAACTTGAAAGCAAATGTGCCGGTGCTGGGCTCAATAGCGCTTTACTCTACAAAGGGACTAATTTCAGTTTAATGCTGTGAAAATGTGCATTAATCACTGAACTGTGTGTCTTGTGCTTCACATAAATCCAATGTCAAACTCTGATATATAAAAAAAAAATTCCCAGTTGTTGACCATCTAAGTCAGCTGATATGAACAATAATAATACTCTCAAACTTGGAGTACGTTCACACAACAACGATGCACTAAAACAGAAAAGTTTTCCTTTGCGCTTTTCTACTACAGACGGCAACATTGCCAAAACGATCCCGTTCATACGGGTCAACGAAAATGACTAAAAACGCAGTATTCTGCTGCCAGGCCAGTAGGTGGCGTCACTTAGTAAAGAGACAATGGGCTGAACAACCCAGACAGCAAACTAACATTGAATCAACGTGGAAACGACGTCTCTCATGATATCGCAACAACGTTGATCTGGCATTGTTTTGCTCATCGAATTAACGTTGAACCAACGCGGCATTCTTCAAAGCTAAATGAAAATCGAAAATTGGTTTGCTTTCATAGCGTTGAAACAACGTTGATTTCAAGTTGATTTTCCGTTTGACGCAAAGAATGACGCATCTGACGTTGGTTCAACGTTAATTCGATGAGCAAAACAATGTCAGATCAACGTTGTTTCGATGTCATGTTTCCACGTTGATTCAATGTCAGTTTGCTATCTGGGAAGTTATACACGCGCGCATGACGTCACCATTTTCACAAATTCGTGTTTTTGTAATTTAGATGATATCGTTTTCAAAATGGACAATATAGACCCCCTGTAGTAAATCATTTTATCCCTAAAACTCATCTTTGATCACCAAAATGACGTTTAAATGTCTTTACTTGAAAAAAACGTCTTCATGCCTTAAAATAAATTGAATGTTGGCTCATTTAGTATTCAGTTCTATGAATATGCAAATGAGCCCCGCCTCCACTCACACACTCAGAGATCCACTGGTTGACGATCACACGTTGATCTGATTGGTTACACCTAGTGTGTGATGTCAGAAGCACCAGCGATTTCAAACCGTGTTTTGCTGTCGACTTATAAATTTACACAAGCTTTGACTGCATAGGCTATTAAAAATACCACATAGACAACATTAAAATCTAGATTTTTTACCACAGGGAGACTTTAAAATCATTTAGCATAACCTAACCTGAATCTAGAAAAAAAAGCTCACATTTACTCCCACAAAATATTTTCTTAAAGGGTTAGTTCACCCAAAAATGAAAATTAAGTCATTAATTACTCACCCCCATGCTGTACCAACCCCGTAAGACCTTCGTTCATCTTCGGAACACAAATAAAGATATTTTTGATTGAATCTGAGAGCTGGATCAGTCCTACATAGACTTCCTAAGGGACTGGCTCTTGACGGCCCATAAAGTCATTAAAGAAAAGGTTTAAATATTCCATGTGCCTACAGCGGCTCAATTATAAGTTTATCAAGCGACGAGAATACTTTTTGTGCGAAAAAAAACATAAATAACGACTTTATTCGACTATTCCATTACTTCCTTATGGGCGCATGCGCGAGAACTGAGACGAGGACGTTCTCATTCGTCTACTTCTTGTTACCGGCTGCTCACCGCTCAGGAGTTTTACCGCCCCCTACCGTATAAGATGATGTGCTGATATAGCTGGAAGCGCAAAACTTTCTGTTTACAAGCAGAGGAAGATGCGCGCTGTACATACGCTTTTCAATTTGCGTATTTTCCGCACTACAAGGTGCACTTAAAAGCCTTTAATCTTCTCAAAAAATGACAGTGTTCCTTATAATCCGGAGCGCCTTATATATGGATCATCATTTTATACGGTAGGGGGCGGTAAAACTCCTAAGCGGTGAGCAGCCGGTAACAAGAAGTAGACGAATGAGAACGTCCTCGTCTCAGTTCTCGCGCATGCGCCCATAAGGAAGTAATGGAAAAGTGGAATAAAGTCGTTATTTATGTTTTTTTCGCACAAAAAGAAGTCTCGTCGCTTGATAAACTTATAATTGAGCCGCTGTAGGCACATGGAATATTTAAACCTTTTCTTTAATGACTTTATGGGCCGTCAAGAGCCAGTCCCTTAGGAAGTCTATGTAGGACTGATCCAGCTCTCAGATTCAATCAAAAATATCTTTATTTTTGTTCCGAAGATGAACGAAGGTCTTACGGGGTTGGTACAGCATGGGGGTGAGTAATTAATGACTTAATTTTCATTTTTGGGTGAACTAACCCTTTAAGATAGAAAGATGCATGGAGAAATAAACAGACAGAAAACACACAATGTATACGGTTAAACATTTCTAAAAGATAATACATCTACAGACAGACGGATATGCGTTATCTGTCAAGCTCATAAAGACGACACACACAAATTCATTAATTTGGTTTGAAAAGCAGTTTATTCCGAACCTTTTAATAAAACATACATGAGGTTGGCCCCTTCACGGGTGAAATGCATCTCTCCGAGGAAGGACGTCGAGCGGCTACAATGAATCTACAGAGCTGGTAAACGTTTCCCTTCACAGCTGATCTGGGTACCAAGGGCTTCTTCTACAACGCTACGGTTTCTCATTAAGACAGGGGGCGCTGTTCCGAGATCAGTGCAGAACTTGTGTAACTGCGGCACAATCTAACCAGTGAGGCGAACATTACATGTGGTGAGAAGGCAAGGCAGCATCACAAATCATCAGTAATCAATCATGACAAACAGGGACAGCCAAAGGTGGGTTCACATTCATATGTGGTGTAAACACAGTATTATTAGAAACTACACACCTGTGTCTGTGAGAGTAAACAAGTGCGCGCTTTTCTAGTCGTGAGTCAAAAGAAGAGTATTTTACAATCAATATAGTGACATTCATATCTAGCTCCGATTCCTTCATGCCAACATTCATTTCTCCTGATCATTTATCTCTATTTTCTCTCTTCACTCGAGTCTCGAGCACTTTCTACAACCCTTACGTTTGTTCATCCTGACAAAACACATTCGAATTAATCCATTGGTTAGCCTACTTTTTGCAACACATTCTGTTCGAGTAAATCTCTCAAAACGAATCAAGAACATGCCCGTGTCACATTTCACTAAAAAAACAATCATTTTCTTTAATGAAATTTGAGAATTATATAGTTTGTTTTTAAAGACAATTAAGCTTATTTAAGGGCCATTAAGATGTTTAGCATTGTAACATTAAGGGCAATTAAGCACCACACAATGTGAAATAACTGCTATATTTCAGTGATTATTTATTCATTATAGCAGTATTTATTGTACCGCCTTAAATCAGCATAAATTTAAGGTGGTACAACAAATACTGCTATAATGAATAAAAAATTCATCATATATATATATATATAAATAATGTGACAATCCTAAAATGGTGGTCCTTTTTTGTTTCGGCTCAATATAATTGAATATGATTTCAGGTGAAATACGAGTTAGACACATTTATTCATGAGATTCACCCGTCTGTATGGCTGGATCTGAAAGCTAATGTCGTCTGCATTCAGAGATTAAACAGATCATCATCATTGCTCTAATAAACACAGAAGAAAAATCACTCAAATAAACCCAATATCAAACACACACACATCCCGCACATCTTAAACAATGATAAAAAAAAAAAAAAAGGTAACAGAGTCACATAAAGGTTTAGACGTTCACACGCACCAAAACATTTGTTGTTCCAGTTAGGATATTTAACAACTAATCAACATGAAATGGACAAGATAAAACAAAACAAAAACAGGTTTTAATTGTCTGTTTTAGACGCAGCTATGATTCAGTGTTCTGGCGGCTAGTAAATCACGTAAAATGAAAAACACGTCACATTATTATAAGCGGATGGAAAATGCCCGTTTATACGATTGGCCTTTTCCAGCACATCAGACCCAAGAGAGACAGAGCTGGGGTTATGCAGTCAGATTAAACAAAAATGAGAAAAATGAATGTAGATCTGATAATTAAGAGCTCTGTAAAGCAGAATCCTTCACGGTACCGTTCAATCGCGCCAGGACAAAAAAAAAAAAAAAAAAAAAAAAAATCAAACTATAGTGTAAACGAAATCCTTGTGCGCTAATTTTTTGAAACAAAACAAAATCTTAAATAATTTAAATCATTATATACATATAACTCAGAAGGCAAAAGTGAGGTTGCTCATCCGTCTCTTGACCTCTACGTTCACATTTTTCGTAAGTGCAATATAGCTTTTGCACCATTTCAACTCGGTGAGGTCGTTTTATGAAAGGAGTTAGCACGTATGACCTTTGTTTTCTAAATCCCAGCGAAAATAGATGCTTTACTTTATCATTGTACGCTAAACTACGCGATTTTGATGCCATGCTATGACGTAGTTTTCCCACCGAATGTCTCGTGGTCTAGTAGGTGATAGCCTTGCGTTTTATCGTTTGAGTGTGGCTAACGGCAAAGCAGATGGACGTAGGCCAGATTATGCAAGCGATGTGAAACTAAAAGACATTTTTGCTTTTAAGACCTTTTTCTTAGGAAAACATTTAAAGTAAGGATCATTTAATATATCTTCAATTCAAGTAGGTAGCAAACAGCCTCTCCGTTTGGCCTTTTCCACGTCTAGACGCCGGTTTCTAACTGATCAGAGAGCTGCGTCTGGTCAGGTCCACATTACTAGCGCTCAGTCCCCTGGATTCTGACAGGCCGCTGTTAGATTCCTGAAGAGACACACACACACAAAATGGGTGTCCTGTAACATTATACAGTGGGAAAACGCGTACATTTTAAAGTGCAGTAAGGGATTTCGGAGAAACCCTGGTGAAAGTGGATCTGAACGAGATTATTATCAATGTTGAAAACAGTCGTGCTGCTGCTTAATATTTTTGCGGAAACTTTTACCTGTTTTTTCAGGATTCCTTGAGTAAAAACTTAAGCCTTTATTGTAACTTTTGATCAAATTAAAGGACAACTCCGGCGCAAAATGAACCTTTGGTCTAATTAAACATTGTTACCTAGTCAACCGTTATCTGAGATTTGTTTTCATGATTGCCGAATGTAAATAGTTTTATCTCTAAAAACAGTTTAGCCTATAACGCTAGTATATAGGGCATAGAGTAATGACAAATAAAAATCGCTTGTTATTATCACTAAAAATGCTCAAAATAGCCCCACACTAACACGACAGCATAATAAGGGTCCCTACATTCAAACCGAAGCATTGAGAACTTTGTCAGTGTCCACACAGTTTAATAAGAAGATATTTTATACACACAGTCAACTTCGCGAATACAGGAAGAAGCCATCTTTGAAAAATAGTCCCTACCAGTCGATCTACAAACACCGATCCATGTGCGCTGGTGAGATGTGAATAAGGAGATAAGGTGAGTGCGAACAGTAGGATACATGTACATATTGAAGAGAAGAAAACGGTTCGTGTTTGTGTTTCTTCCGGAAACAACGGACCATATGAGATTCTGCACAGTTCAGCGCACTTGGATCGGCGTTCGTAGATCGACTGGTAGTGACTATTTTTCTAAGATGGCTTCTTCCTGTATTCGCGAAGTTGACTGTGTGTATAAAATATCTTCTTATTAAACTGCTATCTTCTTAAGGTTCATTTTGCGCCGGAGTTGTCCTTTAATAAGTTGTGCACTATATAATCGGCCGATATGACACATTTTTTACACATCGGTATCGTTACGATGTCAAAAAAGGGCCGATTCATTCCTGTCTATTTAAAGGAGCTGTATGCAAGATTGTGGCCAAAACTGGTACTGCAATCACTTTCAAATTAGGGTGTATCTCCCCCTTCCCCCATGACTCGAGGTTGCCAGATATGCTGCAGGTTCCAGCAGGAACGTAGGCTGCTACACGAAGCTTCCAATGGCAAGAGACGAGTCCTACACGGTGAGTTTTTTTCTGTTAATTATTTATTTCGGACCTTGTAACAAAGTATTTCGGATTCATATAAATGTTTTTATCCGATTCCGACACGATTGTATCTGCAGCTGTGGTAAATAGAGAAGAGCTGGCAACCCAAATGCCGCAACACTACTGAGTCTGTGATTGGTAGATCGGTGGAGGGTGAACAAAACTAGACTACTATTGTCAGTATTTGAAATGAATATGATTTCTTAATGTCTAGTGAAATATCAGGGATAATTTATGATTAATTGAAACAAATTTCTTGCATACAGCTCCTTTAAAGGTCGATGGTTAAACAACCACTAAAAAAAAGTTGCCTCATCTTCTCTGAAAAGCTTTCCACAGATGACATAAAGCACACTTTCAATAGAAAAAAATAATATATAAAATAAACTGATATATAAAATAATACTAATCCCGGTTATCGGTATCAGCCACAATTTTCACATCGGTGCATCTCTAAATTCAATGCATCCTTGCTGAATAAAGTATTCATTTCTTTAAAAACAAATCCATAAATAAATGAGTGTATGCAGACATGAACACACACCTGTGAGGTTTCTTCTACGCTCTTGTTGAGGAAATTTAAGGAGCTGGCCCTCTTCATCCTTTTGAGTGAAACAAAAGCAGCAGTTACAGGGTGGCATCAGAGCAGTGTGTGTGTGTGTGTCAGGTGTAGAGCCCGACCGATAAAGGATTTTGAAGGCCGATACCGATACAAATATTTTTTTGTTTTAAAATCCGATATTCCGATATATCGGCCGATATTTTTTTTCTTTCAGAAACGTGCAACAAAACATTAACAGATTTCCCTAACGTTAGTTATTTGTAGTTATTTATGAGTTTATCTAAAATAATATGATAATGCATTTTAAAAAGAAACTTGTTTCTTTTAGTCACAACAGAACAGACTGATGATAGTGGCATTAGCTAGCTTTATGGTTAGCTAGTCTATGATTAGCAATGGATAACGTCATACTGCAAATTGTAAAACATACATTTTCAATATAACAGGCCAAGCAGAGATGATGCGTCTCATTGCTATAACTGTCACGCGCTATTAAAGAAATACTTCAGTCACATTGTCAAAAATTAAAAGGACAGTCAGTCGACTACACTGTAACAACGTAACGTAACTATTACTAGCTAATTCCGCTTCACTCTCGGCTTATTTAACAGCAGCAAAACTGGACATGATGGTCACAAATGTTGTCATGCTTATTTGAGTTAAGAGAACTGATGCGGATGATCTTTTAATTGTTATTCAAGCAATGTATCGTGACCAACTCAACGAGTGTAGAGTGCCCTCTGGTGGACAAACTATACAACTCCAACACTCGTGACATGGTTCAAGCGTGTTTCGTCCGTTTTTATTTTATTTTTGAAATATTGATTTATCGGCCATTATAACTGCCGATACCGATAGTTTGGAAAATGCCTAATATCGGTCTGGCTCTAGTCAGGTGTTTTGGAGAAGCTCGTCCCTGATGTGAGTGACCTCACCCGGGGTTTCGTGGCTCCTGGGGGCCGCTGCCCTGCAGTTTCTTCACCAGCATCTCACTGCTGCGGCGCAGCGCTTCCCGAATCTTCCCGAACGAGCCGCTCCTGCGCAGGGCGCCGTTACCATCCTGTGCCCGGGAAACATGACCAACTTCAGGCTTTATATACATATATATATTTCAGTATCAATATGTATATGTATAATATGCCTATTAGAGTGATTTCTGAGGGATCATGTGACACTGAAGCTGGAAATGCAGCTTTGATCGCAGGAATAAATGATGTATTACAATAGGAAATGAATATAAAGACACAAACAGCTGCACTGACCCCGGCCCACTCGGCCTCGTCCCCATCACAGTCTCCTCGGGGGCCTCCAGGGCCGTTTACCCCGTCCCGGGACTGACGTCTGTCCCCTCCAGCGCCCCCGCCGTCCTTCAGCAGCTCCACCACTTTACTCTGGTTGATCGCATCAATGCCCTGCCGGACACACGCACATTTCACACCGTTTATTTATAAATAAAATACAACACTACATACTAAAATAAGATTAATGAAAACTACAGGTGAAACTTGAAAAATTTTAATATGGTACAAAAGTTCATTTATTTCAGGAATTTAACTTAAAAGGTGAAACTAATATATTATATAGACTCATTACAGGCAAAGGGAGATATTTCAAGCCTTTATTTGTTATAATGTTGATGATTATGGCTTACAGCTTATGAAAACCTTTTCACAATATTCAAATTTTCACAATAAAAACAAATTCATCATATTCAATAAACAACTATAACAGTATCTCAATGACACTAAAATAACACGGGTTGTCAGTCGATTGAAATATTAATAAAGTAAAGTAAACAGACGAAGTTTAAAAGTTTAATCATTGAGGTATTCTTAACAACGCCCTTCTCTTCCTGTTTGAGTCACACACAGGAAGTGGATCTCATAAGTCGAGCATCAGGTAGGAAATCCGTGTGTGTGTGTGTGTGAGTGTGTGTACCTGTTTGCGGTTCTTGGTCGCACACTCCTCCAGCGTCTCGGCGGCCTCCAGTTTGCCCTGCCTGCGGTACAGAGCGCCCAGGCTCTTCAGTGTGGTGTTCACCGTGGGGCTGCGCGAGAAACACACACACTCAACACAAGCGGCACTCCGGGACATGCGCTGCGTCCCAAATCACGTATGTATGCACTATCCTAAGCCGTTTTGTAGTATAAATAGTAGTAGTGTCACCGACCCGTAATATCCGTAATATCCTATAATAAACCTAAACTCATCTTGACCAAATATACATCATTTGAAAGTGTACAATCTCTAGGTTCCATATTTGATTTCAGAGGAGCCGTAATTTATCAATTTTTACAACAAATCGCTAAGGCGAACGCTACTGAGCAGCGAGCTGATTGGCTATTGTATGGCAGGAACCAATCAGCTGCGCCCTATAGATAATATGATTATGATCAGGTGAGTGACGGTCCTATTACCCACACCATCTAGAGTTTCATGATAGACCTTTGCATTAATGAAAATGGCATGTAAACGTGTGTGAAGACGTTTGTTCGTGTCGTGTAAACATCCTCCACACTTTGATACCCAGAATGCCCTGCACAGCACACTCACCTGTCCACCTTGCAGGCCTTGTACCAGCTGCCGTACTCTCCGTAAGGCCCAGAGTCCTTTCTCTTCCCCTGAAATGACCATCAGACAAACCCGACTTTTATCATCTCTACAACTTTCTGAAACAAAATCGTCTTAATTATAATGAAAAATGTGAAAATTGGTCAAAAATAATGAATGTGACAAAAAAAATTGATTTATTTTTCCAATTGCTGGTTTAATGTTGTATAAAAAAAAAAAATCAATGTTATATTGCCTAAATATTTTTTTTAATATAATATGGGTAAGTGGATATAAGCAAAACTATTGATGTTGAATTATGAAATGAAAAATTTGGGGTCAGTAAGTTTATTAATAATGTTTTTTTTTTACCTTTTTATGTTTTTTTTTTATCTTTTCTGCTCACTAACGCTGCATTTATTTAATCCAAAATACAGTAATATTGTGAAATATTATTATTATTAAAAATAACCATTTTCTATTATAATATATTTTAATATGTAATTTATTTCTGTGATCAAAGCTGTATTTGATCAAATCTGAGTCACATGATCCTTCAGAAATCACTCTGATATGATCATCTGCCACTCAAGAAACACTTCTGATTATTATCAATGCTGAAAACAGTCGTGCCGCTTCATATTGTTGTGGAAACTAATTTTTTCATGATTCTTTGATGAATAGAAACCACATTTACAGCCACTTTTGATCAATTTATTACACCCTCGTTGAATAAAAGTAATAATTTCTTATAAAAAAAAAAAAAATCCTTATTGAACCCAAACTTGTGTACATTTTTATAAATGTGAATGTAATACCTTGCTCTCCTCTCGCTCCTCGGCATGCATCCAGATTGGCTTGTTGTCATCTAAGAGAAAAACAATATATTCTCATTATAAGCAAAAACCGGCATTGTTTTGTGATTCATTCAAAAGGTTTTGTGTGTTTGTGGCATTTTACTCGGCCTGGCTAGTCTTCTTTCATTGACTATAATTAGCTTGTTGAAGGTTTTAGGAACATCAAGTGGATGTTTGATCATAATCCTGTAAGCGTCTGATTGGCTTAAAGGGCCGCGATGTCACAACAGATGGCCTCAGTGAACACGATTAGACAAAAGACCATCAAACATCTCACTCACCATTTCATCCTGACAAAAACTGATAATGAGGACACAAAAAAAAGTGTGTATTCTTACAGAAACACATTTCATGACCGATTTTCACGCATGCATAATTAAAGCAACATTGAAAACATCTTCCTGAAATGTGTTTTTTTTATGAGAGGTACGTACTGTTGACCGAGCCGAACTCTTTCTCATGCGCGCGGGTCAGGATCTCCTTGTAAAGCGTCTCGGCGTCTTTGAACTTGCCCTGTTTCAGGTAACACGTCGCCTGCGGAGGAAAGAGGATCGACATCGGCATCAACATTCATCCTTCTCTCCAGACAAAATTATCGAGCTTGAATGCGCAGTTTCTACAATAGCAATATAGATAGGAAGTACAGATTCATTCTGCTTGCTATCAACATATAAAAAACTGTTATTTGTTCATATTAACTAAGTAACTTATATTAATATTATCTTTATTTAACCTTGAATGGCCTTGAAACAGTGTCCTGAGGTCATTTCCACTGAAACAGGAAGACAGGGCGGGGCATATCGATAAGCTCCTCCCCCTTTTTTAAAGAAGCCAATAGCGTTTAATTTATATCACAGCTCGCCCAGAGCCGCTGAACTCGGTTTCCTCCTAATCTCTCCAGATCACTTTAAAATACAGCATTCAGAGGGTCTGGTCTGCGCGACTCGATCACATGATGCGTGTAGCGGCGGTTCATGAACCAGACTTCATTCGCCCCGATGGAAAGCATATTTAACTCTCTGAATCATTCCCTATCCCCTATGTGCCGTTTAGTAAATGTGTGAATGGGGGCGGGGCTTCAGATTCTAGAGAGAATTTCATTGGACAGAAAATCTGAAGTGCAGAGTGATGTCATCAAACTCACTGATCCTTATTTGCGGAAGTGAGCGACTGTACGCTTTGAATGCTTTAATCGTCAGTGAATGTTTTCAAACTAGCAGTAAGGCTAACACATTCATGCTAAAAAAAAACTAAGATTTCATGTGGACATTAAAGGGATACTCCACTTTTTTGGGGAAATAGACTCATTTTTCCTCAGTTGAGTTTTACCGTTTTCGAATCCATTCAGCCGATTTTCTGATATTTAGAAGGATATCAGTTACCAGACAGTTTCTGGTCCCATTGACTTCCATAGTAGGAAAAAAATATACTATAGAAGTCAATGGTACCAGAAACTGACATTCTTCTAAATATCAGAAAATCGGCTGAATGGATTCGAAAACGGTAAAACTGAACTGTTTAACTCTGGGGGAGTTGTAAAATGAGCCTATTTCCAAAAAAAAAAAAAAGTGCACTATCCCTTTAAGATTGCGAATAACTAATTGAGATTCATTTCTGATTCACTTGCAACATCACACATGATATCAGCCTGTCTGGCCTCACCAGGTTGTTTTTGGTCTTGGCCACGTTGGGGTCGTCGGCGCCCAGTTTGTTCTCGTAGATCTCGAGCGCCCTGCGGTAATAATACTCCACTTCCTCATACTTGCCCTGGTTCTGACACAACAGGGCCAGATTGTTGAGCTGCTTCGCCACGTCAGGGTGGAATTTACCCAGAACCTGCAAACACAGTGTGCGTTAATATAACAACAGTGGCCCGACTGGCGCATCATCATCCTCCGAGCGCGTCCTCCACCTTCTCCCGGATCTCCAGCGCCCGCTTGCACAGCGGCTCCGCCTCCTTGTGTTTCCCGCGCTTGCCGTACAGCACGGCCAGGTTGTTGAGCGTGGCGGCGACGGCCGGGTGATCCTTCCCCAGGGTTTTCTCTCTGATGGCCAGCGCGTCGTTCAGCAGGTGAGCCGCCTCCTTATACTTATTCTGATCCCTGGGAAAACACGCGGGAAGTCATGTGACGACGGAGAGGTAGAGCACTACATGTTTACTTGTGACGGCGGGAATTGTTGACCTGTGTGCTTCTCCGATGGCGCGTTAGCATCCACATTGATCATCTTTTTCTCTACTTTTGGCCTTCCGTCCGCACTGACACAGCGGTTTTATTAATGAACACAAAGCTTTTTGGAAACGGCGTTTTCGCGTTGTAGTGCGGACTGTGAAGACGTAAAAGGTATTTGAAAAAGACGATGCATTTACTCGAAGGGAAGACGTAGATATTTCCCTGCGGTTCGGCCTCTCATTTACACTTTACACGAAAACCCTGTTTTTAATCACAGAAAACGATTATTTCTAAAAACTTTTTATGGTTTTTATGTTCTCAAACGTCACATTATGAGCGCCCAGTTTGGCAGAGTTTTGATGCTGTAAATGTGGGTTGATGTAAATGACAATGATGTTGTGCGCACAATGTTATTATTGAAAACGTGTAATGTGTAAATGTGGCCTGTCATGTGACGCATAATGAACCCATTAAAGGAGTAGTTCACAAGAAAAAAGGTTGCTGATGATTTACTCACCCTCATGTCATCCAAGATGTCCATGTCTTTCTTTCTTCAGTCGAAAAGAAATTTAGGTTTTTGATGAAAACATTACAGGATTTTTCTCCATATAATGGACTTCAATGGGAACCAAACGGTTCAAGATCCAAAAGAAACTTTTCAAAGGGCTTTTAAACGACACCAGATGATGAATAAGGGTCTTATCTAGCGAAAACAATCGTCATTTAATAAATAAATAACAAAGTTTAAGTTTTATAATCTCAAATGGTCGCCCTGTTCTGTTCAGTGATGCACGTTCGTGACTCTCCTGTTCGAACTCGTACATCAAAACGAACGATTCTTTTTTCGTGTCACTAGTTCGATTGAACGAATGAAATGAACGAATTGAGTCAGAAAAAGATTCGTTCATTTCGATGAACGAGTTTGAACAGGAGAGTCACAAACGCGCATCACAGAACAGAGCAAGGCGAGCATTTGAGCTTATAAAACTTAAAATTTGTTATTTATTTATTAAATGAGTGATCGTTTCGCTTGATAAGACCCTTATTCATCGTCTGGAATCGTTTAAAGCCCTTTGAACAGTTTACACTGAAACTCTCATTTGGACCTTGAACCGTTTGGTCCCCAATGAAGTCCATTATATGGAGAAAAATCCTGGAATGTTCATCAAAAACCTTAATTTCTTTTCGACTGAAGAAAGAAAGACGTGGACATCTCGGATGACATGGGGGTGAGTAAATTATCAGCAAAAGTTTTTTTTAAAGTGAACTACTCCTTTAATGAACACAAAGCTTTTTGAAAAAGTGGATAAACTTGAAGACGCTGTTTTCGTGTTGTAGTGTAGACTGTGAAAACGGACGCATTTGAAAACAATGACGCATGTTTAGTCATGTGACGCATAATGAACCCATATATGAAGAGTTCAGATGCAAAAGCCTCTAAATGCCATTTGAAATTTTCTTCTTTACTGATGATTTTTATCAAACTTGTATATTTAAGTTCAGTGATTTCACTTAAATTGCAATGATAATTACCTATTAATTGTTATTTAAGTGAAATTACTGAACTTAAATATACAAGTTTGATAAAAATCATCAGTAAAGAAGAAAATTTTAAATGGCATTTAGAGGCTTTTGCATCTGAACTCTTCATATATATATACACACACATGTATTTGTCAGTGTTGTGGCTGTTATGTGCTGTTCACTTTCACACTGTTGCTAAAATATGTTACCCTGCACACTCTTCATATCACAGTCCTGACAGAAAATTATTTAAAGCCAACAAATTAATATATCATTCACATTTTGTCATTGTGTGCAATTCAAATGTTTATAAACAACCCAGTTTTTATTTTATTGTTGATTATTAAATAAATTTGCTTACTTGATTGTTACATTTTATTGATTTTGTCCGGTTTGGGTTTTTGGCTGAATGAAAACATCGGTGTTTCGGTGCGTCAGTAATGTTTTCAAGCTTGACCAGAGGTTAAATTCGAGTAAAATCACAGGCTTCACTTATCCCGTGTGAATCAGTGTGTGTGTAAAATTCAGCAGCATCTCTGACCTGTACACCAGCGCGAGGATGTTGAGCATGGTGGCCACGTCGGGGTGGTCGTGTCCCGAGGTCTTCTCCAGGTCCTCCAGGGCCTGTTTGCAGAGCGGCACGGCCACCTCGTAGCGGCCCTGAGAGGCGTACTGGATCACCAGGTTGTGGAGGGTTCGGAGGCGGGCCGGGATCTCGTAGCCCCCCTGCTGCGCCGCCGCTTCACCACTGGGCTGAGCTGGAGAGAGAGACACGGGTTCACCTAAAAATGCATTTTTGCACCAAATCATATTGAAAATGAAGGACGTCCGGGACTTTGACGCTCTCTTAAAGGGGTAGTTCACTTTTGAAAAAACTTTTGCTGATAATTTACTCACCCTCATGCAGTGTTGGGTGTAACTAATTACTAAGTAATTAGTTACTGTCATTTAATTACTTTTCCCTTGAAAATGTAAAGTAAGGGATTACTCTTCATTTATCTGTAATTTAATTACAGTTACTTCTGATGTAATTGAGGTAAATACTGTGTATAGATCACAGCGATTCGTATGCATTTTATAAGGTGTCTAAATTGTACGACCGCACTCGTACAAATTTGTATGAATTATTGTAAAATATATATGAAAAAAGTGTGAAATGTCATGAGATCAGACATAAAACAATAGTGGGTTTAACATCAAAATGTATTGTCTGATGCTAAAAAGTATGTTTTTATAATGTAACCTTCTCCACCTTGGTCAGTTTAAGGATAATTCATGCAATTTTATAGTATTTGTTTGAAAGAATTAAAACAGATTCATGTCTATCCTTGTATTATTCAGCTGGTTGAGATTGATATGGGATTTTGAAAGTAATTAGTAATTAAAAGTAATTAAATACTTTTTAGAGAGAGTAATTAGTAATCTAACTACACTCTTGAAGAGGTAATTAGTAACTAGTAATTAATTACTTTTTTAGGGTAACTTACCCAACACTGCCCTCATGTCATCCGAGATGTCCACGTCTTTCTTTCTTCAGTCGAAAAGAAATTATGGTTTTTGATGAAAACATTCCAGGATTTTCTCCATATAATGGACTTCAATGGGAACCAAACGGTTCAAGGTCCAAAAGACAGTTTCAGTGTAAACTGTTCAAAGGGCTTTAAACGATTCCAGACGATGAATAAGGGTCTTATCAAGCGAAACGATCGCTCATTTAATAAATAAATAACAAAGTTTAAGTTTTATAATCTCAAATGCTCGCCTTGCTCCGTTCATGACTCTCCTGTTCGAACTCGTTCATCAAAATGAACAAGTCTTTTTCCGAGTCAACTCGTTCATTTCGTTCGTTGACTGAACCAAATGACACGAAAAAAGATTCGTTCATTTTGATGAACAGGAGAGTCATGAACGCGCATCACAGAACAGAGCGAGGCGAGCATTTGAGCTTATAAAACTTAAACTTTGTTATTTATTTATTAAATGAGTGATCGTTTCGCATGATAAGACCCTTATTCATCGTCTGGAATCGTTTAAAGCCCTTTGAACAGTTTGCAGTTTGTACTGAAACTGTCTTCTGGATATTAAACCGTTTGGTTCCCATTGAAGTCCATTGTATGGAGAAAATCCTAGAATGTTTTCATCAAAAACCTTAATTTATTTTCGACTGAAGAAAGAAAGACGTGGACATCTCGGATGACGTGGGGGTGAGTAAATCATCAGCAAACGTTTTTTTAAAAGTGAACTACTCCTTTAAGTGTCACACAGCCGTCTTCATGAAGCGGCGCTCTCTCTCACCTGGCCCCTGGTCGTCATCGTTGGGGAAGAGGTCGTCCAGGTTGTCCTTCTCCTTCTCTCCGGGCTTCTCCTCCGAGGGCGAGGTGTCGTCGTCCAGCTTGCGGATCTGGTTCATGAACTCCAGGTGCTTCTTCTCCTCCTCCAGCTGTGCGACGCTCTGCTCGCTCTTCTGAAGCTTGTGCTGGGTGCCGGCCAACTCGTCCCGAAGCCACTGGTTCTCCTGGCAGAGCCGGCGCACCTGAGCGCGCAGCTTCTGCTTCTCCGACTCCACGGCGCTCAGGTGACCCGACAGGGCGATGATCACCTGACACGGTCATACTCAGTTATTTTCTTCTAGACACAAACTGTGATGCACTATTTTCCTGTGTAAAGCTGCTTTGAAACACTCATGAAGATGACTCGACACGATTTGATTTTCTGCTTTGGGTTCAACGGGAGACATAACAAACTTCATAACTGTTCTTGTAAATTATTTAAAAAAAGGGGAAAAGTCAGTAAGAATGAGTTGAAAACTGCATGTATATCCAGGTCCGTGGGTCCTTCATCCCAGTCGCAGTGTCACGTTTTGCACTATAAACATTTCTTATCTATTTATAATTTTGTGTCACCTCCAACTGTGCAATGTTACTTCTATTTATTTGCATACTTATTTGTATATTTGTGTTTGTAGTCTGTATGTTTACATAAGGTTGGTTATTGTGTGAATACAGTTGTTTTATTATTATTATCATTAATATTATAATTCATTTTACTGTATCATATTCCTATATTTTGTATTTTACTTGAGCTGCTGTAACAAAAGGAATTTCCCCAGTGTGGGATTGATAAATATTATATATATATATATATATATATAAACTACACAAAAACAACTTAAAATATGAAAAAAGCTTAATTTATATATGGGGGAAAGTGTTTAAAAAAACAAAAATTTAAAATACATATAAAATAATAAAGGGATATAACAAACTTCATAACTATTCTTGTAAATTGTTTAAAAAAAGTGTAAAAGTCAGTAAGAATGAGTTGAAAATTGCATATATATATATATATATATAAAACGAAACAAAAACTACTTAAAATATGAAAAAAAAGCTTAATGTGGGGAAAGTGCTTTTTTAAATAACTTTAAAATACATATTAAATAATACACACAAAAATACCATGATAACTGTAAATAAACATGAAAACGTTATGAAAATAAAATAAGGAAATATTTTTTTTCTAAAAACATTTATAATTTTAAATGCATATATATATATATATATATATATATATATACACACACACACACGCATGTTTGTTTTATGATTTTCAAACCCTTTTATAATTCCTTTTAAGAAGTTTCCAAATTTGACATTTTCTGCAGTAAATTCTCTGCTTTCCACTTATAAACGTAATAGCATAACTAATTGGAGTCAAATTACCCATTCATTTTAATCTTTAATAACTATATATTTAAATAAATATAAATGTTACTTTTGATTTGAATATTTATATTTGCATTGAAATGATCAGAAGTGTGACCCTTTTTCTCGAAGTTTCCAAATGTGACGTGGACTCATGAAAGCGACCGCACGAGTAGCCGGGTTCAGGTGAGCCATACACACACAGTGTGGTGTGAGGAGTACCTGCGCCTCGCCCAGCCCCAGCTCGATGTCCTGCAGGCTCTTGCGGAGCAGGCTGGACTTGTCCTGCGCTCCGGCCGGCTGGGAACAGTCTAGGATGGAGTTGAGGAGCGTAGCGTGTTCCCCGCGCAGCGTCTCCAGACCCTGCATCACCGCTTTGGTGTTCAGCACGATCTCATCCTGCGTGAGCCGCTCCAGAGCCTCTTCTCGAGGGTACACCATAGTGGACATCACCCGCGGGACGCCCGCTCGCTGCCGGGACACACACAACAGAGGCATGTGGGGTTAAACTGGCAGCGTCGGGGAAAGTTGTGCGTTCAAATATTGCGCTACTCCCAGAAATAACAAGCTAATTGTGTTACTTACACTCTAAAAAATGCTGCACAAAAAACAGCATTAAACAGCATGTTAAAAACAGCACAAGTTGGGTTGAAAATGGACAGCGAATGGGTTGTTTTAACTCAGCGGTTGGGTTAAACGGGTTGGGTTATTTAACTCAACTATTGTGTAAACAATACAATGACTGTATCGTTTGCTTAAAATGAACCCGAAGTATGTTGAAAATTAACATTTATTAGGTTTAATAAATTAATAGCCTATGTATAAGTTTAATAATTAAACAATAAACATTTAATTGCTTTTAAAGTTATTAAAATATGTGTCGGATTTTTAATTTCTAACCTATTTTCTGTTCATTTTAAGCTAGTAATTTTTAAACATTACTTGGGTTAAAAAAAAAAAAAAACTGTCCAGCAAGTAGGGCAAACATTTAACCCAACCTCTGGGTTAAAACAACTGAATCGCTGACATAATCAATTTTTTAACCCAACTTGGGTTGTTTTTAACGCATTATTTAATGAAAAGTAATGGATCACATTACATTAGCGTTACTTTTTCTCACCTGGGCTTGCTTGTTTTTATTAAAGAAGCTATATTGTTGTTATATGTTAAGGCCCTTTCACACCAGAAGTGAAATGAATAAGCCTCAGGAAATGGAAATGCATATTTACGCCTGTATATATGATATATGATATACAGGAGAAGGAAGTTCACCTCTCTTATTTCTAAATCTACAGTAATTTTTTGCCGATTAGTATGTCAGAATTAGATCATTGAAGGTCGGCAGCAAAAACATTGGTTAATAAAGTACAAATAAATTCATAAAGTATATTTGTGTCATTTAATATAGTTAATTATCAAAGTTTTGCGTAAAATTCTGACATGGCATTTTACTGTTTTTACTCATTTTGAGGAATACTGAATATTTTCGTGGGATTAGTAGAATAAAAACTCAAATAAACATGTTTACATAGCGAACACCTCACTTTATTTCTGAGCTGTCCATCAATAAATGTGAAAAAGTAACTTGGATGTTTTGTTGTAAATTGAAAAAGTAATTTGTTATTTTACTAGTTACTTGAAAAAGTAATCTGATTACATAACTTATAATGAGTTTCCCCCCAAAACACTATTTATAAGATCCATACAATCGAAGTTATCGGTCATAACACAGGCTCTTGGACATCAGGATGATCACACAGCCAATCTGGCAACAAAAGAGTCCTGCGCCCCAAACACAGCAGTGCCAGTAACATAACAGTCATCAGAGATTCGGATCAAATCAACACACGCCTGAGGAACTTCATCAGGGGTTCCTGATGAACGAAGGCATTCACTGTTCGACAGTTTAATTACTTACAGCTCATTTAAACTAGTGTACTACCAAAACAGAAATGTGTGAAGATATCATTTAAATGATTCAAACTTTCAGAGATAGAATTGATTTTTTTTTGGTAGTTTCTGAATCTAATTTGCTAACTTGAACTAAGTTAACATTACATTCAGTGGTTTACATTTTGAAACCAATCAAAAACATGTGTACTTTAGATATGTATCATGTTTTTCCATTAAATGTATAGAGTTTTTTTGTAATAAATGAAGACTTAAATTTAAATAAATTATACAACATTACAAAATGTTACATTAATTGCAATTTAAGAGGAGAGAGAGAGAGAGACGTAAAATTCCTAACACAATAATGCATAAATAGCATTATTTATAGCAACTTGTGCCCTTATTTAAGTCGTAAATTGCCCAGGTTGCCATAAATAATGGCATAAGTTACCATAAATAGGCCTAATGCTAATCATAAGTTGCCCAGGTATTCCATGAACAAAGTTTGTATCCATCCACCTTTATATGAATTAATTTTAATAACATTAAGAACATTTTATGTTGTAAATGCTATTAAAATAGTGATATTTTAATGTTATGATATTTTATTTAAAAATATAATAGTTTGATTAACATACAAATACATGCGAATTGTATATATATATATATATATATATATATATACAATCAAGCAAGTATATGTTCAATGCATAAGGTAATAGGAATCGCAGTAATAGGATTTCAAGGCTTTTATTACATTTCAAACAAACAAAACCCCATCGCTGTGTGTGTGTGTGTGTGTGCAGTTCCTCCGGCGTCCAGCAGAGGCGCCCTTCACACGCCTATAGACTGCAATGCAGCAACACAGAGGACAGTCCCACATCAAAACACAGCGTATAAACACACATCTGATCAGATCACACACCGCCTCCTCATTCTCACAAACTGTGATAATGACTGACACATGCCTGGAGTAATTAGGAGAAACCTGGAAAAATCCACCAAGGTCAACGACACATCCCTGATCTCAGATCAGATTCTGCACAGCGAGCACAAACAGGCCCAATGTGAACCAAACACACACTGCTATGGGTCATGCACACACTTATTATCATCATGCAACTGCCTCACATCCTCCATCTTGTACTCTCACATAACAATGTTTGAGAATGAATAATGCATATTTAGATTCATAACCCCAGAAATATTCATTGCATCATCATCACTGTCTGGAAGATCAGTCACCAAATCACCACGAGTCCTCTCTTTGTCTGAACAAATTATGATGTAATATTTATTTATAGACATAAACAGCATCCTCGTGTTAAATATGAGCTATTGTTTTTAGCAGGTCAGGCTAAACTTTCTTCCCCCATTCAAACCTTAACTCAGTTTAGCATCCTATTGTGTGATCACTGCAAGAACATCCCATCAGCAACTAAAGCACAGATCATCTGTTTATGTAAGACACGTACCTTTTAATATCCGGGTGTTTTCAAGCAGAACTCGGTCGTGACTCCTAATGAGAAGTTATGGATTCAGACGCGTCCAAACGTCCAGACTCGCTCCAATAATAAACTGATTTGAGCCTTATGAATCAGAAGAATTAATGAATTAATGAATCCCCCTGCGGAGACGCGCTTGTGTCTGTGACGCGCTCAGCAAAACAAACGTCCGTGCGCGCGACCCGCTTTCTCTTCGTCCATCCTTCTCGTGTCTCAGCTCGACAGATGCGGGATCTTTGTGTTCAACTGGGAGAGGATGAGCACAGCGAACTGAAAATGGCTGATGTGTGTGTTTGTGCTCCCAGAATCCAAAGCCCCGACGCGCGCTGACATCATCACACCGCCCTCCCTCCCTAAAGCGGGCGTGGACGCGCTGTGTGTGTGCGCGCGTGCGAAGGCCCGATGGAGGAATATCAATATTCATAATAAATAGGCCAAATTATGTTTTTGTCCGGTGGCACTTTACAAAAAGGTTCATTAGTTTGTGTAGGCTATAACTAACATAGAATAACACCGAGCAATACATTTGTTGCTGAATTTATTAATCTTTCTAGTTGTTCACAGTGCATTTACTGTTAGTATACGTTGAAATTAATATTAAATAAGATTAATAAATGTTGAAGATATTGTTCATTCTTAGTTCATGTTCACTTTCTTCTAAATTATGCATCTAAAACATTGCATTTTTAAAAGATATATCCAAAATTATCCTATTCATATAGATTTCAAGTACAATAGGCCTACATATTTTGAGAAAACAGCCTTTAAAAATGAGTTTGTACCTCCACTTCAGTACCATAATAAATATTAGTTTGATACCTATCTATATTCTGAAGGTTTTTATTGAGAGATTTGTTTCTAAAATGATCTAATGACACACATGTTAATGTTTGTAAGAGGATGATCTTGTGTATTAATAGTAAATATCTGGTCAATTACATACCAGAATATTGGAAAACACTTTTAAGAGTTTGTTTTATTAGATCTATTTGTGTCTATACAAATGCAACATAGTTTTAGAAAACAGCGTTTCAAAATATTTAGTTTTTCCCAAACAAGAACTTTAAACTTGGCTTTATTCAAACTTGTTGTTTTCATAATTACAATATTGTCAGTATATTAATATATTGCCTAAATGTACTGTGTGATATATCTATTTGTGAAATATTTTACTCGCTAACAGTTATTATTAATCATAAGAGGGCAATGCAAGTGACAAAAAATAATAATAATAATAATATTCACACTGCATTAATCTGCACTTATTTTGTTCAGAAATCCACAATCACAAGGAAATATACAAATCAGGTGTGTTTATTAAATAAAAAAAACACGAATACAAGTAACACTTTCACTGTCCATACCACATCTATTGATTGACAAACTCAATTATGAAAAAGCAGTACTACAAAACATATCAAATAAAAAAAATAACACGATAAAGGAACATGAGTTCATATTACAAGCACTTTGGATATGTACAAGCATTTTTGTCTAAAGGCAAAAAGGCGAAGAGCTGAAGACTGCTAAAAGAGAATAACGAATGTGCAAAAATACTCAGCTCGGCTTCGTCATCTTCATCACGTCGAAATATCACACGGTGTGTGTGTTTTACTCTTTATTTTACACAGAAAGCCGAATCCGCGAGCTCGTGATATTCAGGAATACCCTGACAGAAAAGACTTGGTGACGACAGCCATTCTGATTGGCTGTTGGGATTATTCGACCAATCAGAATGCCGGAATTCACTTGATGCGTTCTGTAGAAATTTCACGTGACGAATCAACACGGGTACACACAGAGGTACGACTCCACACAACACACACACACACATCACAGTCGATGTTTCCATTGACCAAAACTAGTAGCCGTTTAAAACTCTTTCGTTTAATCATGAATTCAGTACTTGACCGTCCCGTTCCAGACTGTAAACACTGAGAATCATTTTCCACACATACAAAAATCACGAACAAAAACATAAACGTAACAGCTGACAGACTTTGGCAGTGACACTTATTTTGCCCCTTCGAGAAACATGTAACGTTATCCATATAAAATCTAGTTTTTTCCTCCCTCACGAAGTTTGCTGCGAGTTTTTGTGCATTAGCTCATCATGCAAGCTTACAACACAGACATTACAGACGATTGGATTAGTTTGAAGTAAAATTGAGCGCGAGTTTTTCTCTATATATACTCCACCTCAACAGGGGGTCTTTTATATGAAGGCTTCGAAGCTTGACCCTCAAAATTATGAAATTTATGAACTTTTCAGATCCAATAAGGAATGATCACAGACAGGATTGTGCATAAAAAACCTAGACATCATCGCTGACTGAAATGTTACTGTAAATGTCTTCCAACAAACCTTACAACTAGAATTTAGGTCACAGAGATATGAATAAAATAATAATACAAATTAAACATGTAGATAAAAACTGGTAAAACATTAAGATTGCATCTATTTGCTATTCTTAAAATGTGGATATTTGTTCAATAGCAGTGTTTATAACCAACGTTAACTGAAAACGTGTGCTTTTCAAGGTTTATTCGGCCTTCTAGGGCTGATGTACATTTCATAAATTCACACACACTTCAAACCCACTGCTAAAAGACGAGGCGCACATCCAACTGACCCATCTTGACTTTAACACTTTGTTGTTCTTAATACTTAAAACCACAGAAAAAACTGACACTTTCATCCCAGACAACAGTTTAGAAAGGTCATATTTCACCTCAAAAATCAAAATTATGACAAACATTTGTATTGTAACACATGCTATTGTGATGTATGCAAGTAAAACCTAAATAATTGATACTTTTCCCCACATCACACCATGAAAATTAGACCAATCTGACATGTCTCAAATTTATGTATTTTTTTCTTCTGATTTTGTGGTGAAATATGACTCTTTATGCGAGATTTGAAAGCGAGATAATGATAATATTAGGAGTTCAACAGATTATGTAACAATCAGTATTGATAATCTGTGACTGAAGGACGTATAGTTCACACCACCAGTGACCACTACTGTCCACAACACACACACACTGGTTTCACTCGAACTGTGGCACAACATCATTTCATAGATTTAGTAGATAGATAGTTTGTTTTGTCATTATTTTAAAACCACATTTCAGTGACGTTTTGCTAGTTGCATTACCTACGACTCACAAGAATATCTCACAAATCGTCTAGACAAAATAAAGCACATGACTTTTGTAAAAGCTGCCGTTCGCAGTGATTTAACAAGCTCCAGCTAGAAATAAAGGGATAGTGTAGCTTAAATTGACTGATCTGAGATCAGATCTGCTGTTAAGCTCATGACTGAGCAGCAAAAAAAGAAAATAGTAAAGAGAATTATTTTCCACGACAAATAGCTAAACACCCATAAATCGATATACATTTACTTGAGAATTTGCAATTTGATCAAAATTAAATGAGTTTACAGGTATGGACAGATATTTTATCTTGTTTCAAGCATAAACTCACTCAATTTTGATCATTTTGAAAACAAGACTCAGGGGTGGGCAACGATTAATCGCGATTAATCGCATTCAAAATAAAAGTTTCTGTTTACATAATATATGTGTGTTTGGTGTGTATAATTATTTTGTATATATAAATACACACACATGCATGTATATATTTAAAAAATATTTTATGTATATACTTTATATATATTTATACAGAATTAATACTAAATATAAATATTTGATATATTAACAACACATTTTTTTTTTAAATATATACATGCATGTGTGTGTATTTATATATACAAAATAGTTATATACACTACAGACACATATATTATCTAAACACAAACTTTTATTTTGGATGCGATTAATCGCGATTAATCGTTGCCCAGCCCTAGTTTTCTTTGCAAGTAAATGTATCTTGATTTAATGTTTTTAGATTTTTTGTACTGAACCCTAAAAAAAATGTAAACAAAATAGCAATTAAAGCAAAAATACTAAGATACAAAATCATTTTTGCAGCGTGTAAAGGTAGTATTCATGAATCGTGTTTAAAGTGTGTGTTTCATAAAAACAGCGGATTACCACTTGTGCTTTGGACGAAGATATGAAGAAATGAAGGCGAGTTTTAAGTGCTAGCGTTTGACAACTGATGAAGATCCAAACCCTCAGATCTCCCGAACCAGTTTACAACTGGAAAATATGCACACAAGAGCCAGAAAAGCAATACAAACTACATCCTCCCCAACTACACCAACGTTTCAACATCATAACCTGTGGCGTTTTCACCTCGAACCAACGTCCGATATTAACGCTTACTCTTTCCGCTCCATAATGTTACATTCTGAGTGGCCAGAAATCTTTGGAGATGGTTTATGAAAACGATGAGCTAACATATTTAAGCTAAAAAGGTCACTTTCTGACACATAAAAGCATAATGTGTAAAAAAAAAAAAACTATATAAAACTAAAATGGAAAAGTTTAGAGATGAAATAAATGTGAAACTGTCAAGCTTCTGTACACCAAAGGGAACATAAAACGTTAGCACTAGCGGTTAGCAACCGTGCACAATGGCGTGTACACAGTGAAATTAAAACAACGTTTGTTAACTTTTGCCAGTGCATTATGGGTGATGAGGTATAAGACATGCAGATTAAAGGTC